ACCTATGTATAGATGCTCGCAGTCTTTACATTTAATTTTGTGGACACAGTTTTTGTCCTATCCGTGGGGGAAGCAGGTCCTTCAAATGTGAAACGAAGATGACATCCACAAAGATCCCAGGCGTAGACATCGGAAACAAGCTCGAGCTTGTTCTTTAACGTTTGTTTCTGACATTCAATACCTGACCAGTACAACAATTGGTAGAGTGCCACAGCAAATATTTGGGAGGGGTGTTGTGTCTACACGTACACTAGTCCCCTGCACGCAGGGTCTTGAACAAGCACGACCAAAGCCCCGAACGAGGAAGCAGAACTCTACTGGTACACAACACAAACTTCTATTCACGCCAACGGTACATACACTCAGTACATTCAAAACAACCCTGGTATTGATCGCGAACGGACGGGCATCCAATCACAAGCTACGAAATGCGGTCGTGGTAAGGCCCGCGCGTACGCGCTGCCACACTACTCCCCTTCTTCAGCGGTTGGTTCACTGCGGTGGCCCTCGCTTCAGGACACTGCTTCGGTTGAAGTGCTGAATATAGCTGTCTGGCGTTGACTCGTCGGCCGTCTGCTAACTCATAAGTTCCTGGCCCTAGCGCACGAGTAATTCTGATGGGTCTCGTCAGTGCCGGTTCTCCTTTCCGTGTTTGCCTCTCCTTTATCCTGACCAACGTTCCAGGACGCAGCGATGTGGCCCGTTTTTCGTAGGATGACTGATAACCCCGGCGATGTTCCAGTTGGTGGGGGTCGTTGTTTTCTGCAGCCGAAATAGCTGCGTTTAATTTCGTACGCAACTTCCTGCCAAACATCAGCTCACCTGGCGTGCGATCAGTCGCTCTGTGGTGCGATGTTCGGTGAGTAAACAGAGCCTCCAAAACGGCATCTTCCCACTGCCTGCCGGACAAACGTGCTGTCTGTATAGTTTCCTTTAGCGTGCGATTAGTGCGCTCAACCATGCCGTTGGCAGCTGGGTTGTACGGGACAGTATGTACGTGCTTCACATCACGAAGTTGTAAGAAACGTTTGAACTCATAGTTTGTGAATTGTGGTCGGTTGTCTGTCACAATTTCCTCAGGAAACCCAACTCTAGCAAACAAATGTTTCAGCCACCGTATAACGGTTGAGGTGGTCACATCGCCACACAAATGGATTTCCGGCCACTTACTGTAATAGCACGTGGCAACTAAGCAGTTCCTCTGGTGCTGTGGCGCAGAATGAAACGGTCCCATGATGTCAATCGCCACCTTCGACCAAGGTTTCATTGGATAAGTAACAGGTTGGATGGGGGCATCGATTGGTTTGGAGCTCTTGTCGGCCTTTTGACATGCATCGCAAGACCGGACACACGCCTCTGCCATTTTATTCATTTTTGGCCACCAAAAGTATTCTTGAAGTCGGCGCTTCGTCCGTACGATACCCGGATGTCCCTCGTGTGCAAATTGGATAATTTTTGATGTCAGTTTCTGTGGAGCTACGAATCGCTATCCTCGCATAAGGCAATCATCAACGACCGCTAGCTCATGTCGTAAAACATAAAACGCCCGTAGTTCACCACTCAACTTCACGTAGCGAGGCCAGCGTTGAGAGAGATGGTGAATGACATCTTGCACATATGAATCACTCCGGTTAGCTTCTTGAAGCTCTTGTTTAGTAACCGCGGAGAGCTCACTTGATTGTAAAGCAGAAATCATGACTTTTTCTTCGTCGTCTTCATTCTTGTCGGAATCATCCAATGGGAGACGTGATAAGCTATCTGCCATACGGTTCTCGGAGCTAGGGCGGAAGATGATTTGAAAATCATAGTTCAGTAACCGCGCATACCAGCGGTTAATCCGTAGTTCCCTGTGACCATTGGTTCCTCGGCTGAGGAGGGTAGTTAGAACAGCATGATCCGTGCGCAATGTAAATCTCCGACCAAACAGAAACAGGTGCCATTTTTCACAGGCCCATACACAGGCAAGGGCCTCCCTTTCACCTGCGGAATATGAAACTTCAGTAGGAGATAACTTTCTAGAAGCATATGCAATCACTTTTTCCTCACCGTTCTGAATTTGAGACAAGACCGCTCCTAAACCGATGTTTGACGCATCCGTTGAGACGAATGTTGAGCAGTTTTCGTCGAAAATGGCCAGTATTGGGGTGGAGACGAGGCGTCTTTTAATTTCTTCGAAGGCCGACTGCTGCGAAGAGCCCCAATCGAACGTAGCTTTTTCTTTTGTCAGCATTCTCAATGGCTCCGCTATAGTTGCAAAATCGGGCAAATAGCGCAAGTTGAACGAGCATAAACCAAGAAAGTGCTTAACCCCAGATGTATTCTTCGGTACAGGGGCTTCCGTGATAGCTCGAGTATTAGCTGCGCATGGCCTAAGTCCACCAGCTGATAAGACGTACCCAAGAAACTCGACATCCGTAGCACAAAATATACACTTTTCCAGGTTTAGCCGAAGATCTAGGCTCTCCAATCGCTGCAACACAGCGCGCAGCCTTGAGTCGTGCTCATCTCTTGATTTCCCGAAAACGCATATATCATCCATGTAAGCGATTTGTCCCGGTAGATCTGCTAGTGAGTGATTCTTAAACTTCTGCCAAGCTGCTGGAGCGGAGCTAAGTCCCATCGGCAAGACTTTGTACTGGAATAGACCACCCGATGTCAGAAAAGCGGTAAGTGGTCTGGATTCTGGTGTCAATGACATGTGGAAAAAGGCCTTCCTCAGGTCTAGTTTTGAGAAAAATCGCGCACCAGTTATCTTGACCAACAATTCGTCAACTGTGGGAAGAACGAATTTTTCGACGACGATCTGACTGTTCAACGCTTTCAAGTCGTTGCATATGCGCACAGTACCGTCCTTCTTTAACACCGTGACCATGGGATGCACCCATTCGGAACAGTTAACTGGCTCTATCAAATCGTTGAAAATCATCTCTTGTATGGCCTTTTCTACCATCGTACGTTTGGCCAATGGAATAGGACGTGGCTGCGCAATCGAAAACGGTTTAGCGTCCTTTTTAAGGCATATTCGATGAGCAGCAGATGGAATCCGGCCAATCGACTCAGTAAATAATTTGGGATATAAGCTTTTAAGTACTGATGTATTGAGTGTCATGATGCGCATTCGCTCGATAGATGGTGTTATGTTGAGGGCAACCATAGAATTTCGCCCCAGCAAGGCTGGACTGTCTTCGGAGGCAACATACACAGCAACATCAGATGCGACTGAGAGTAAACAGAGTTTCGTCATTATATATCCCCGAATTTACACACGTGAATTTGTGTACGATTCGAAGTTATGCGACGTAGGATGTAATGGAATGTCTTGCAGGTAGTTGTCGTAAATGCTGGTCGGGATAATTGTTATCGGCGATGCCGAGTCTAGCTCCATAGTCACTGGTACAGAAGTGTTAAGCCCATGGAGTGTAACGGTACGTATGTCAGGAGCAGGGAGCTTGGGTTCCAGCGAAGCAACTCGTCGTGTTTCTGGTTGTAATCGTCTTCTGATAGGAAAAACATTCGGTGTAGTCGGTGAGGTGGAAACATCATTTTGTTGGTCAATTAACGCGACTCGACGCGAGCGGCAGCATCTGGCGAAGTGGCCCAGTTTACCACAGCTTTTACACTCAGCTGTACGAGCCGGACATGTTTGACAGTCAGCTTTGTGGCGAGAACTCCCACATCTATAGCACGAAACAGTCGAATTCTGAGGTTGACTGGAACCTTTGTGCTGAATCTTACTGACTTCTAGTATATCACTCGACTTGAATAGGCTCGAATGTTCAACGGCGGCTTTTATTAGTCTTGCGATCTCTATGGCTCTCTCCCAGGTAAGTTTTGAAGGATCTTCGGAAAGTAGCTTTTCGCGTATACGATTATCCTTTATACCGGTTATCAACTGCTGCGTCAGCATAACACTCTCAAGTTTATTCTTCGGGATGCTAGTGTAGTCACAGGTTTTTACAGACCGAATTAAACGAGCGACAAGTTGTTCCAGTGGCTCTGCATCTTCTTGCCTCAAACAGCAGAACTTGCAGCGTTCAGCGAAAATGTTTGGCCGTGCACCCCATGACTGATCGAGTACATCCAATGCCTTTGTAAGTGTATCGAATTTCTGCAGATCTAACGCATCGAAATAACGTTGACCTTCTTTGCCCAACAGGTGATGAAGTAGTTTCAGTTTTTGCTTCTCATCGTAAGTAGTAGTTGCTGGGAGTAGGTCCAAGTAATTCGTGAAAGACGTTCTCCATTGGATCCAATCACTCTCCGTAGGTCTAGTAGCAGGATCGCACCAAAAGGCTTCTGGAGGTAGAAGGTGAAATGCCATTGTAATGGTCCACAGCCCAGACGCCACTGTTGTGTCTACACGTACACTAGTCCCCTGCACGCAGGGTCTTGAACAAGCACGACCAAAGCCCCGAACGAGGAAGCAGAACTCTACTGGTACACAACACAAACTTCTATTCACGCCAACGGTACATACACTCAGTACATTCAAAACAACCCTGGTATTGATCGCGAACGGACGGGCATCCAATCACAAGCTACGAAGTGCGGTCGTGGTAAGGCCCGCGCGTACGCGCTGCCACAAGGGGAAAGCTGCCTGAGCACCTGAACAAAGGGCAGCATCACATAGCTGCCTATCCTCTGTGAGCTAGTATGATGATGTCAGTGGTCATCTTTTTTTTGTGGCTTTCACATCTGCGCGTCTTATTCGAGCTCATGAAAGTTCTCAGTGCTACAAATATGCTTTATACCTAGTTCTTCGCATTCTGGTGGTTCCTCGCGCCGAAGTCTCCCATCAACTGTTATCAGATTTCCGTTCGCACTGTACTGTGGTTACCGTTGATAAATCATCATCAGCATAAGTGTGTCCTTCTGACACAGTGTCAATGACTCGCTGCAGCCACTTTGTAAGAAGGAAGTAGGAAAACGAATTTACACCTTCGATTCCTAAAAATGATGTCACGCTGTGCACTCTTTTCTGCCTTTTTATCACATCTCAGGTGTTGCGCAAAATGGAATGTGACGGATGGATGACAAAAGATGGTGTGCAAGTCTTACGTGGTCGTTGGCAGGAAGTTGTTCCGACGCTTGCGCAAGAGATTGCGGACTCTACTTCACCTCCGTTTGATGGCATCTTTTTCGACACCTACGCGGAAGATGACTTGGACCTACGTGAATTTCACACATGGCTTCCAAAATTGTTGCGCAGGGTGGCTGCCGAAGACGAAGGTGGTACTGCGTCAGTGGCAGGCCGGTATTCATATTACAACGGTGTTTGTCCTGATAACGTGTTCTTTCACGGTGTCGCGTGTGAAACTATCCGGTTGCATCTGAAGAGGTTGGTATACACTGCTCTTCGTAACTTATGACTTTGCTTCCATCTGTTTCTCCGTAATCATCAACCTCAGGAATCGCATACTCCGATTGCCTCAGTCCCCATATCTTTTCGCTTGCTACACTTGTGGATTATCTGGTACCCTACTGCTGTAAGTTGGAATGGTATCTGGATATTTCCCATTAGTATCTGGATGTCTCATCATTTTTCATAATTCACCTGGTCAATACCCCACTTCAAACCTCATACCAGCTGTCACTTTCCAGTAGCTTTATTTCAGGCGTTGTGGGAATGGTCTCTCACCCTCAGCTACGTTCTGTTTTTTGTTACACACTCTCTCTCATGCGCTCTTTTCCGCAACGAACCTTTCTCCGTGGTGTTGCAACACTTTTCCCATCGGATTTTCCAATCAGGTGATAAGCATCTTCCGTACACATATCACAACTAAGTGGGTATTCTCCATTGACGACGCATTCCCTTTTTGGACCGCGCCACATCCATGTGCATACTAGGGCACAAATGCTACCAACCACTCACTGCGGCTCGTCGTATCTTTGTCGTTCGTGGCCACTACATTCGAAATGACTTTCTAAACTGGAGGTGCCTTTGTTACTAGTTCCCTGGCCATGTGAACTCAAAAGATGTTACGTGGAAAAAACGCCTAATTATTGCTAATCTTTCGCTCGCTTACTAAGGGCTGTGGCGCATCACGACACATACATGTGTTTGTCATTTGACTGGTCATCAACCGCACGACCTCAGTAGCAAGCTATTGTTGTTTGCTGACTTACATGTACATAATTTGAAACAATGTATCCCCTTATTCTATTCACTGAGCGCAGAAAGAAGTCATAAGTCGCCAAATGTTAACATTTCAATTGCTCTCATCAGCCGCGAACGCAATAAAATTAGGAATCAACAGAATCGGACATTTGGAAACCAAATTGAAACCAAATGATCCATCAAGACCAAGGCTATCTAACAGATTGTTTCAGTTGCTTTTGTTCACACACCAGACGATACTACAAGATAAGTAAAGCTTCAGTGATAGGCAGTCTTTTTGGGTTCTGATCACGCACCAGTATTCTGCACGCGGTCTATTGATACCTCGCAATAAACGAGGCAGGACTGCGATTCATTACCTTATCCGCACTAGTTTGTTGCGCTAACGATTGCCGTAGCCAAAATGATAGGTGTTCCGCCATCCTCAGAGCCAGTCTTCGGTCAGTTCTGCTCATATGAACGTAACCGCAACTGCAAGTGAACCGGTAGACTACATGTGAGGTCGAACTTCCTGACAGCCTTTCTGATGTTCGTTGATAACCAGTCTTCCCGTGCTGTGAACCAGTCGCAACTGGGCGGTGGTGTAGGTAAGCGAGAACTCAACTCTGATCTTATACCTGATGTCACTGGCTAAATGTTATCCTTTAAACGGTGGAAACAAGTATACATCCTTTTTCTCTACTGTTTAAACCTTTTTCCTTGGGTTGTCGGCTATAAACCTGTCCAGGTACTTATTCGACAATAGAGTCTTATGTAAAAACTCCTCTTCGGCCTTATGCGTCTCTGTAGTGCCAATTCGTCTGGCTCTGTAGAAGAGAGTTTTGACTAGACCGCGTTTGTATGCAACTGGAGCGAAGCTAGAAAAGTGTAACTACTGCTCACTCCAAGTCGCTGTTCGAAAGACGGTGCGCTGAAGTGTGCCATCTGTCCGCCTCCTAATGAGCACGCCCAATAACGGTAGACTACCCTGCTGTTCGATCTCATGTGTCTCAGCGAGATTATGGTGTGCACACAAGCAACTGAAACAATCTGTTACATTGCGTTGGTTTTGATGGATCATTTTGTTTCAATTTGGTCTCCACATCTTCACTTCTGTTTCCTTGCCAATTGTAATGCGTTCGCGGCGGATGAGATCAATTGAAGTGTCAACATTTCGTGACTTATGTCTTCTTTCTGCGCTCAGTAAATGTACATACTTATTTGCCATCAGTCATAGATAGCCAACTCATATCCGGAAAAACGCTAAACAGCTTTTTCTTCTCCTTAAGACTCGCCGGCACTAACTCCAGCTGAATCTGGACGCATGGTTTTTTCTCCTACATGCCATCTACGGGTTTGACAAGCTTCCACAATCGATTACTACTTGCACTGTGGCGCAGCTTCTCCTCAACCGCCATGCACGTCATTGTTGTGGGAAGGACAGGGCTGGCTGCCAAACTGCCAACTCTCCTATGCCATAAGTCAGAGAGGGAATAGTAGGGAGATTTGTTGTTTTTGATAGGAATCGTGCTAACTGATTGCATGCTTCTGGTTGTGAGTAACGTATTCACGATGGTCGTTGCCGTCCCCTGTAGCTCAGTGGTCTCAACGACGGACTGGCAACAGTTGAGTTGCGGGTTCGAGCCCTCCCAGGGTCCGATGGAATGCGCACTGCTGACGGTTCCCGAAAGGATGAAACGCTCGTACAGTGCTTTTTCGGGCGTGTGGCGGCTGTCTGAGTGAGTCTAGATGTGACGAATTTCTACGTATACCATTCAACTCCCCCTACTACTCTTCTGTGAGTACTTTCGTCTGATAAACATCGGATGGTTAACCTAATTTGAACCTCTACAAGCAACCGACTGTAAGCAAGCTGCTCCGCCAGTGGAATAGAAAATGACATCACGAACCGCATAGCAAAAGCTCGTAACAATTGCTAATCATCGTTACTCTCACTCTGAAGAGTAGAGTCTACAACGTTGCCATCTGTTCAACACGGCAGTACGTTTGCGAGACGTGGTCTGTTTGATCCGCAGACGTGTGAAATTCCCTTCTCAATCGTCAACGCCTTCGCAAGTTGGCTCACATCTGTTGGGGGTGTCACCTAAGCAATGGGCGCGCTCGACGCCTTGTTTATGGCACAGGAATAGCAATTGGGTCACTCAAAATCATTGTTTCATGCACCGAGCTCCGATGACTGTGCGTTCGATCAACTTGTGGGCAGCAGTCGCTCGCCGGTATTTGCGTAGCATATAATGCTCTCACCTTGTCTTCCTCTTCTTCCATAGAAGTGCTAACGTTTGTGGAGACGCCCTCTGCCAACCCAAGGGCGTAGATAATCACCATCACACGTTAGCCAGAAGTGAGAAACACAGTCATTGCACCACAATACAATGACAATTGTAAAAAGAAAAACAAAAGCATAGATAAAACAAAAATCAGTACTGTCATGCTTTGTTTCATTGTGCATCTGGGATGAGATTGTTTTTGGAAGGTAAGGTTAAGCTGGATGGGAAGGCACAACGAAACTCACAGAGACAGACATCATTGAGGTCGACTCTTCGTCATGTCAACAATTGTATCCAACCAAACGTGTTCATTGCCTTTCCCACCCCAATCAAGGATTCGAGAAGAACCAACCGTTTCGTCTGCATTCCTATTGCCTAACTCATCGGTTGGCCTCCCCTCTTCTTCCACTCATGCCCTAATCGCGTAAACAGCGTACGTCGCCGGAGTCGTTGTATCGGCATACGTAACAGATGACCCAGTTCTCGGAGTCTGATGCGTGAAATAAGAGTTCTGAGCGGTTTGCTTTCTCTTCCTGCGGCATAAACAAGGCGGCAAACACCCTGATTGTTCACACGATGTTCTTACCATATACGAAGTAAATTGAGAAGACCTTTTTTCTAGATAGCAGAGGATGCTTAGTTTACTATCTTACGTTCCTCATATTAAATTGTAAATAATTAATGAGATGGGTTGAGTTTTCTAGACACAACAGTGGAAGTCGTCTTTACAGCACTCATACGACGTGGTTGTCAACTACAATTACTCATCAGACGATGATGTGCTCTCTCTCATTCAACTTGCAATGATCCATATCTTTTCACTAACACAATTGCAATGCTGAATTGCAGAGCAGTATAAGCGCATTAGATCAAAGAAGAGCCAATGTCTTTGCCGGAAAACGTTCATTGCAACGAAATGTTCAGGCAGGAAATAGGATTCTCTTGGTAACGACAACCTACTTTCGTTCTGATTGCATGTAACTAAACTCAATCTACGTCTGCTAGATCCAATTGTAAAACGACGAATTTACCGGTGCCTCAAATTTCACAAGTTAAAAAGCCATCTTGAAGCAACTACGCACTTGTTTTGCTGTTCAGAAAGCCCTTAGAACAAATGCTTTTGAAACCATCGGTGCGATTGTAAATCAAGATCAACAACACTCGATTTCAGTACCAGCACTGAACGCCACTAAAGTCAGTCCATCTGGTGTGATGTGTTAGCACATTATCGGTTTTTTTTGCTATCGTATTCCTTTTCTTTTGTGTGATGATTTCAGGATGTTCAGCCTAGGGTCGAATATACCGGCACATGCTAGTGGTACCGGGCCTAAAGGGGAGAGTTCACCTATGCTTCTAGCGGCGAGTGATGAAATATTGGGACAGCTTGCCTGCGCTAATTGTTGAGGCAAAATCAGTACCGGGATATAACCAGTTCTTAACCGCCTACTTTGGGGATTTCAGATACAGGGAGTGCATCCCACCCGAATAGCATGTCACAGCTGTAATATGCAACAGACCCGCAAGGATCAGTGACGTGATTCCCTGCACGCGCCCAAACCAGTTACGTTGGAACAACACTGACGCGCGTGTCTACTAGTTCTCTATTTTAAGCATTCATTATTCTTCACTAATCACGAATGGGAAGCTGCATTTTTTCACCTACGGTAAGACGAAAGTCTCGTTTCACTTACAATCTTAATACCCCATCTTGTTTGACTCGGTAAACAGCCTATCTTAGATCACCGTGTCTGATGAGTGGAAGATTTGCTCTGTAAATGATCAGTACATAAACTCAATGCTCCTTTTGCTCAGTCTCCCGATGAAATTTTCACATTCGCGCACCAGATTTCGAGCTTCAGTTTTAACTTCATTTCTTCTTTTGAGCTCCGTCATTTGACTGGCGCCCTCTTCAAAATCGGAGTTATGTGCTTCCCTAGTGGACTAAGACATGCTTGGCAAATTTCTTTTTATCTTCAGGTGTCACGTGGATAAATCCAGCTAATGAGCCTGAGGGTTTCCTCAATAACTTTGTTGATGTAACATTTAGACGCATTCGAGCGGCCGTTATATGCCTACCAATGGGTTGAACGGCTGTATGATAGGCGATTCACATATAGATTCACTGAGTGATCGGAGCGGTAGTCTTCCTCTTATTATGATCCTTTAATGTAAATCACTGGGCATCTGTGAACCCATTGTAGCCAGTACTGCTGGACGTATATGTTCAGCCGGACATACAAGGCATGTGGTTTCTTGTATCTACCCTCGGGTGATCTGTTCCTGCGTTGCTTACATTCATTACATAACATTGTTTCGCATTCCCGCAGCCAGTGATTGCATAACCCTTTTCTAGGCTCTTACTTCGGCACCTCGCTACTCAAACTGCGGCACAATAGCTGAGGTGTTTCCCACCTCTAGCTAACGTGTATAATGATTCGGTCGGTTATTTTTGGCTGTGTTGACAAAATCACTTTGTGTTGGATTTCTTCGTTCATTGGAAGGATTTCATCGAAATTTAGACAAAATTCGGTTTCATTTTTCGACCGTAAATACTTGTGTTTTCACCTCTTGGTTTCGACGATCTTGCTATCGCCACTTTCTCTGTCATTTTTTCGCCATCTTGTTTTCGGATTATTCACAATGCCGAAGCAGTCACCCTGTGGTACTTGTTCAAAGATAGTCGGATACCGTGCAAATGCTCTCACGTGTGTTTTGTTCCAAGTTAAATGCCACATTTCATGTGTTGGATTATCAGTTGAGCATTTTCATCGTCTTCGTGAGATCCAACACGATTTCGTCCAAACTATATGTGAAAATTGCTGAAATAAGATACTGCCAGAAAGAGTAAAGCCGACGTGTAGACCTCAGCGTTTCGTTGCGAACAGCTCCGTGTGTTTGACCCAACGACCTAGCCCGAAGAGCCTTCAGGTTTCGGCTCAGCCGTCCTCCTCTACCCGTGCAAACTCACCGGCACGTAGTCCAATCGTTGTGAGAAGCCCAGTTGCACCTGGCCTAAATTGTTTACCTTTGTTGTGTCCAACGGACACTGATGTCTCAGCAGGTGAAATTCTGAGTGCTGAAGACCAGTGGAAAGAACAAGGAGTGAAATTACGAAGGGATGTTGGGCGTTTAACTTTTGTAAGTCAACAGTTAGCCAAACCACGTGAGGCTGGTCATTTGCTTCCCCTGCAAGGTCAACCTCGTCCGACCAGAGGCGTTTTAACCTCGTGATCTTCCACGCTCCGGAGTCCACTGATCCATCACCCTAAATGCGCTACGGTCACGATGTCGAGTTTTTACGGTCTAATTGACAGGCTCATCGACGCTGGTGAGGACTCGATAAAAGTGAGGCAAGTTACCCGTCTTGGAAAGCAACGTGATCAACAAAATTGGCCTATGAAAGTCACTTTTGTGGACGATGCCAGTCCAAGACTGATCATGTCCCGCCTAAGTAGGCTGAAAGGTTTGCAGATCCATGTTCATCCAGACCTGGACCCAGTAGACTGGGAGCGGCTCAAGTCTGCCATCATCGAGCTGAAAACATGTATTGTTGATGGAAAACAAATCTTTGTATCCTGAATTTTCGGGTGGTTTCCAAGAATCTACCAATCAAGGTAAACAGGTTGCCCACATTTCAAGCACGCCCGGCGCCTCTTGCTCCAGCCTGCGAGTAGTCTTCACAAACGTTTGCAGTGTTATGAATAAGCGCGATGCGCTTTGTTGTTTCGTTGTTTGAGCGGCCAGACGTAGTGGCACTAGCAGAGACATGGCTGCATGCAGAGTTATACACCCAAGAACTTGGACTCAGCGGTTACTCGTGCTTCCGCTGCGGTAGACTAACGAATGCTCGCGGTGGTATCTTGCTCTACATCCGGTCTTCCCTGCGTGGGAGACTTGTGAGCACCTACCGAATTGTGTGAATTACTGTGATGCTCCATCTACCTCAGGCGCGGAGAACTACTTGTGGGCGCAGTCTATCGCAGCCCCCTGAGTCGTTGTTTGGATTGGCTGCCCCATCTTTGAACGCACATGAGTCGTCCATTTTTTCTACTTGTAGGCGATTTTAACTGTCCTCGAATACGATGGCCTGATGTACATTCGATGCCTGGACATGGTGAGGTTGAAGGAAAGTTCGTGGATTTTGGACTTGAAAGTGGTGCATCGCAATACATATGCCAGTCAACACGCATAACACCACGTTCCACCCCGTCCTGTCTCCACCTGATGTTGACAAGCTACGAACGACGAGTGCGTGACATTCGGATCCTGGAGCCCCTGGCTACAAGCGATCACTCAGGGCTCATAGCTGATATGGAATTACCATTGCCGTATTCACGTCCGTTGGAACCAACTTACAACTACTGGACAACGGACTTCGATGGTCCAGCTCGAGCCGCGAGCCAACTGGATTGGTCTCTGTCACCAGCTGCATCTGTGGAAGACTGTTTGACATTTATAATAGAGAGATTGACATAACTGTACTCCCAATTTGTGCCCTTGAAATGTCGGATGATTTGACAAAGATGATAGAAAACTGGCTCCGAGGCGGCGCAGACTGTGGGATAGATTCCTCCGTTCTGGCTCAGCCAGTGACTACGGAGGGTATAAAGGTCTGCGGAACTTCTGCAGCAGTGCTAAAAGGAATAAGCGCCGGCATTTCGAAGAGCAGATCGTAATTGCCGCGAAGATCGCTCCAGAGAGAATCTGCTTACATGAAGCGACGCCTGAAGCAGGCAGGTGATGTGTCATTGCTCGATAGCCCGGACGGACAGTCCCCAACCTCCAGTACTGAGCGTGCGTCGGCGTTGGCGGAGCACTTTGCTTCGATATTTGCAAATGACCAGGTGTCTGTTTCGAGTTCGACATGTATCGCTTTTACCGAACTCGACATTCTGGATTGCGGCGTTGAATAGGTATGTCAACTACTCGCCAGTCTTGACGGCACCAAACCTGCTGGACCTGATGGGCTTCGCCCACTGATTCTCAAGTCACTTTCGGCCATCATCTCTCCGATCGTGACTGACCTTTTCAACAGGTCGCTGTCCGACGGTTCGTTGCCGATTGACTGGAAATGTTCAGTGGTAAAACCTATTTCGAAAGGCGGCGACCCTAGCAAAGTAGACAACTACAGACCACTTTGTTTGGCACCTATTTTGGCAAAGATTGCTGTGAAAATCGTAAAAAGGGATTATTGTAGCTGCTACAGTCAAAAGAGATCCTGACGCCTGCACAGCACGGTTTTATGCAAGGCCGCTCATGCATTCCAAACTTGCTTGTGACGAGGCATGAGTGCTTGAAGGCAATAAGCAAGGGGAATCCGTCGACGTGATATTCCTCGTTTTCAGTAAAGCGTTCGACAAGGTCAGCCATGAGGTCTTCCTTCATCAACTCAGGATGTGCGATGTCCGTGGCTCACTGCACCGGTGGATCCGCGACTTTCTTGTTGGGCGAATGTGGAGGGTACAGGTCGACGATCATTTAACTGACTGACATCCCTCTGCAAGTGGCGTGCCTCAAAGCACTATGCTGGGATCCACTCTGTTCCTGATGCACATCAACGATCTACCTCAGCTTCTCCGATCGCCTTGTGTCTTGTTTGCGGACGACATGAAGATTTAGGGAGAAATTGTCGCTCCCGACTATTGTGATGTACTTTAGCAAGACCACAACCGCTTATCCACATGGTCTGCAGAAGTGCATCTCCCGGTCAACCCAGCTAAGTCTGTATTTATGAGCCTGGGAAAGGGTGCTGACGGCCAAACCTACACCCTTGACGGCCAACTGCTGTATCCTATACCCTCCGTGGATGGCCTGTGTGTACTCTCGCGCTACGATTTGAAGTCCCTGGATAACACCAAGAGGCCATATCGTAACGGACTGCGCATACTTTGGGCGCTCAGACGTAGCTTCGGCACATGGTCTGAAGAGGTTGCCACTCGCCTCTTTTCTGCCATCATTAGAACAATGCTAGAGTACGGTTCGCCCGCCTACTTTCCGATTACCCGAGGCGAGACACAAAAGATCGAACGGGTCCAACACGTTGCTACCAGGCTCATCCCGAGTTTACGTGGCTTGGGGTATGAAGACCGGTGCGAGAAACTGGGGCTCTACACCTTGTCCTATCGCCGGGTGCCAGTCGATCTCATTATGACCTGCCGTATTCTACATCTCGGTGACTTCCCATACTGAGGCCAATGCTGCACTTCCGTGGGCCATGCAGCATACGCGGACCAAGGTACAAACTTGTCGTGCCGGATGTGAAACGTGTTCCCCACCCACTGTGCTTCGAACGGAGAATGGTAAATATTTGGAACAGTTTGCAACATCAGTGCAGCAGCTCAAAACGTTGTTAGATTTATATCTTACCACTATTCGATTCAGAGGACGATTGCACATTTACCATGACATCGCACATTTGTGAGTCTTGCAATATCGTCAGATATTTTAAATCTTACATGAGAACGATTGTGATATTCACGACTGACAATTTTTATAAGGTTTTTCACCATGTTTCGAAAGTGTTGTACCGAATCCATTTTTACTTGCTCTATAATGCAGTATTCCAAATTCAATTTATCCGATTACCTTTCCCAATAGACCAACTCATCCGATCGGTGTCTGCGCATCGAAGTGTAACCACCAAAAGTTGAACATCCTGACTTCTAATCAATGTGTTTGACAATATTATAGTGGTTTGATCACTGGAAACTTGATCATCATCAAATAATGGACTATCCTTCACCACTTTGATGATCTCAGTCAGATGTGCCACTTGTTTTCCCTTTTTAGGTTAGGAATCGACTGTCAGTTTGAACCGATCCCAGTGGATGTGTCGGATCCGAAACTGTGGAAGGACCTGTCCCGACGATACTGGTACTTTGACACATATTTCCTTCCCAAGTGTACATTCCAATCAAAAGAAACCTGTGATACGAATTAGAGCTCACATTTCCTTACTTTTTTATTGGGACACCGTCTTTTATAAAAATTACACGACTTTTTTTCTGCCTTGGAAACCCCCTGTAACTATCTTGCTTGTAATCGTCTTCTACTGCGGCATCTGATTTGGGCATTGTAATGGATGGAAACATTTAAACTTTGAAATTAGATCAAGATTGTTGAGTCCGCGACACAGCAGAACATTTGTTTCGCTATTAAACGTTCGCCATGCAGCAGTAAAACCGCTTGAGGTAATGCCGTCGGATGTAGAAAGGTAATGTGTGGCTCCCTTTAGGGTTACTGGCGTTCCTGAGCATGACATGTGATCGGAAACGTTCTGTCCCGATCGTCGCGTACCTGAATCATTCGGTTGGGTAGTCTGGAAACGGGACACGCAACTCAAAAGATGAGCGCCAGTCTGTATCCTTTAGGATCACGAGCTTGTCTTGCAATCCGAAGGCGCGAGTTCAAGCCTGCCTAGGGACCGAGAGACCCTCGCAGTGTACTTGGCCCGCATGTCACTGCTGATATTTGCGCGGCAGCGAAGCGTCGGTAATGCGTACCGGCGTACTGTTAATGTCTTTATTCAAAAGATGAAAGGAATGTGAATGGCCTGCAACTTCTTAACCGACTTGAAGCATGCTTTCAGGTAAATACTCTGATTTTTTTGTATAGTATCCGACCAGAATTTTTCAACCACTGCGAATTGTGTTCTGGAAATTCTCATTTGATTCAACGGAAGTGGGCACTATCACACTGTCGAGACCAGCCGCTCTTCTCAGGATTGATTACCTTCTGTACTATTTCGAATTTCTTGCTACAATTTCCACACCGAGTATCCCCACGGCTTTTCATTTTTGTTTTAATTCGATCCTTATTTCCTATTGTTATGAGAATCCTCACTTGTACCTTTGCTGTTAAATAAATACGTAAATAAACGGTCTATTCCTCGACAGTGCAAAGCAGCCTGGTTGGCTTGATCATTTTGTACAGCGGAATCACATAGAACGGATGCTACTTCTTCGGGTTGTCTTTTTCAGAGCAGCTACCAAACTGTTTGGGGGACGATTGATCGGTTTACACCTTCAAAAGGATTGACAGGTTGATAATACTAATAAAGGCAGATAAATCCAATGTTCTAGTGTAGTAATACGGCCATATTATCGGCGGCATCCGGTTTCGGCTTTGCCTATCACTGTGGCCAGCGACAGGACGCGTACGCCTACAGAGGGACCTTGGGTGGCTTGCGCTGCACCACCCACAGCTCCAACAACACACCCCATATCCAGTGTAAACCCGAAGGAATGAGACCGGGAGGCATGTGGATTGGAGCCACGTTTCATCAACGGAGCCGGTCCACACTTCTTCACAGGCAAACACAAACACGCTGTATTTGGGAATCAAGCGCACACAAGGCGGTGGCTGGACCGTAGTCCGCTCCAAACTGAGCGCATGGAACCGCTCTTCGAGCCTAGCACGGCCACAACGACCATGCAGCCCGTCCCCCCAGCAACGACCAACTGTCTCCTGGAGCCAGTATGAATGAGGTAGTGGGTAATAGACAGGTAGGCACCTTGTCAACATGCACATCAAACGCAGCCACACCGGGGATATCAAACAACAGCCAATCACCTGAAACGACAAGATGAAATAAAACAAATCCAATAATGCGTACAGATACGGTGACATAACTGTTCGCTAAATTAGCACGTGAAGTAAGTTGGTTAGCAACGAATCCGCGATAAGTAAGAAATGTCCACAAGTTACTTAAAAATGCTACAAACGCAACAAAGTTACCGAAGATAAGCGCAATTAGCGTAAGCGACGGGTGCAAATTAATAGATTATTCAGGTAGGCAGAACGAACCAAATAAATGGAATGAAATTTGTACAGCTTAAAAAGACCTAGTTTAAGTGTAAGTTGGTTTAGCCCAACTGCGGTGAAGAAGCATCAAGAATGCGACATCAGCCTCAGCATGCGGCACAATACGGCCATATTATATATATATATATATATATATATATATATATATATATATATATATATATATATATATACTCATGTCCGTGTTGCTAATCTGTCTTTTTGAATAAAGCACTTTTATTACTCTTGAAGGAGTTTATGGCAACATACCTTGCATTGTACCTATTTAGACACGGAGCAACAATGCTTTTCTCTTTGTTTCGTTTAATTCACTAAAATTCGGATCACAAATCTTATTTTCCTTCTTTTTCGGACCCTACATGCTCCCTGGCGTTAAGTTGCCTGATTTTCAACTGGCGCTAACTTCTTGTTGCAATGTGGCTAGACGTTAGTATGGGGCGGCAGTTTGCGCTACCCATCGGGCCGCTGTCCAATAGCCTTCACAGCCGCTCATGCCATGTTGGTCTGATCGCGATGAAGTAACATTTGTATTACTAATGAGTGGGAGGATTTGTTAATTGTAATATTTTCGTCCCAGTTGCTCACAATTTACATAGGACAGCCTAGTCTGGAAAAGCGCCAGACGCGTTTCGCCCTATTGGGGCTCGTCAGTGGTGCGCACTCCCCCAGCCCTCTACTGGGAATCGAACCCATGACCGCTTGAGGCAGATGCCAACTAGTCCGCAGCTTAAGCCACTGAGCCATGGGGGACGTCGGCTCGGCTACACAATTTAAGCTAACTGGAATGTTGCACGAAGTAAAAATTTCCCAAAAATATTCACTTTTTTTAATGCGAGAATGATTCGAACGGATGTTGTGTATAGCCGAAGCAGCAAGTCGTTTCAAAAACATTCAAGCCCGTCAGGTGAGGTGTGCACCCACCTCTTCTTTGGTCTTGCGGAACTACACTACTAATTCTGACAGCTGGTCTAGTTTTTTATGGTACCTGGACATTCGTTTTTGGACACATAAACATCTGTTGTCTTATACACTATTTGCACTGGTGCTGCAACTCGCTTTGATGTGTTTGTTGACTTTCTGTTTTTGGCTGATTACGTGCTTATGGGGATCGAGATCTGTTAATTCGGATCGCACAGACTGATGAAGGTCTCACAAGGTCACCGATCGGAGATCAGACGGCGTCAGCATCTTTCTCATCGGAGCTTTGTAGCTTCCTTACTTCAAAACTGTGCTGGGATGCGATAGTTCCTGTCACAAGATCAGCTCGATTGTTATTGATTTATGACTCCTAAGTGTGGTCCCTGGCAGTTGGGGTACGTCTCCTCTGCCCTACTGTCTGTAATTGTCCGCGTTGAACTTCTGGGCAATGAGTGCAGGCTAAGATGTGGACTTATCCGGTTTTAGACGTTTCGTCACCTTTGTAGGGGGATATTCCCATGAAAACGCTCTGCCAATAGTCGCACACGACTCAGCGGGAAAGGCTAGTCAACACTTGGGAGTCCTGTTGAGGACGCTTTGCCAGTTGTACTCTACCGTTCTTTCTCATGCCAAACGCTTACGTGAGGTCCCATGTGGAACAAATCCTCCAGGTCGGGCATCCTTGACGAAAACGCGACCTCGTTGCTTTTGAGATTCCATAACGTGGAGCGACTAAAAATGTCAGGGGCTTGCGAGCTCGGAATCAAGGCCATAAGGCTTTCGGCGGACACTCGTTCATAGATTGGTCTTTACGATGATGAATGACTACCGTTGTGCATTTAAAAAACAGTTGACTGTGGCTCTATGCCTTTCGTGGTAGCCCATGCGTTTCACTATCTGTGATCACCGTTAGTTTGTGTTTCAATGTTGCGTGTCTTTGTGATTATTGAGAAGACACGAAGTGACGACGTCATCTCACAACCTACATCTGCTTTTTGTTTGGAAATATAAATGAAAATGTTTGTTTCAAATTATATTGTTGTATCATACCCTCAAGGATCCCATCCAGACCACCATGTGATGTTAATCACACGCTGTAGCCGGTTTGAATGCCACTGGAACCTTTTCCGCATTCATATATGTCAGTCGTGGGGCGAATTTCTGATTTCTGTCATTTTCGTTTCCACGCCAACCGAATCCAAAACTAATCATGATGATACGTTACTCCACCCAAACTACTGGGCTACGAAATGTCGTAACCAAACTGTGTGTACAAGTGAAACTTACAGTTTGTTCACTGATATGTGTTACTTTTTGGACATATTTACTTTTGGGTTTTATCCTCTACCCACGGAACTTTTAAGCATTTACATTTTTGCTCGTGATGAATCCAAAGTTCAGTAAGTAGTGATGCTAGTGGTTTCGCCGATGGGCACAGCACTTCCGTTAAATCTGGGGCGTAAGTCCACTAAAACTGATTTACGGTTACTTATGGTTGTAGGCGGATACCGTATTAAAATAAGAATAACGCTAAACATTGTAGATTGCAATCTGTCGTCGCAAAAGCACTCCAAGGGTATTCAGTAATGTGTAATATCATCGTGAAGGAGCAATTTGGATTCCGCCAAAATCACCCATGTACGACTAATCTTTTGCTAGCTCATGCCCGCTCGACGGAATCCCTCGATGCTGGTGTAGGAATTGACGCTGCCTGCATCGATTTCCCTTACGATTTTGATCGTCTAGCTCACCGCATTCTTCTTCTTCAGGACTATGGTATCAGTGACTATATCTTGGGCTATATATATTCATTCCAATTCTAACGCCGCTTGAAGGTGCAGGTTCGTAGCACCGTGTTCTACCCGAGAGATGTTCACTGTGGCGTCCTGCAAGGCTCGGTACTGGGACCCATGACCCTTCCTAATGTCCGTAAACAACCTCACGGGAGTATTGGCGTCGAACTTTTTGATCTTTGTGGACACTCTCAAGAATTGACGGGCGATCAAGTGACTGGACGACCACATGGCATTACAATATGATCCAAACAAGACTTACGAGTGGTCTGCATAAAACGTGTTTGAGTTAAACCCCGACAAGTGCAAAATAATGAGCATACGTCACCAGAGCACTTACGAATATCGACTGATGAGAGCAATCATGGCGTACTCGTGCAGAACGATCTCGGATGCTCAAAACAGGCAGAGAAGGCACAGAAACAGGCC